CTGCTCTAGGTGGGTGGGCAGGGCAGGCAGTGGTGCATCCTGGGGTGCTGAAGGACTGAAAATTACTTGTTTTATCTCCAGAGCAGACTGAAGTTACTGTAATACAGGCTAGGTAGTACACCCCAAAGTTAACCCTTGCCTGAAAATACATAACTTTGAGATGCACAGAGGGTATTAGCATGAGTTAAAGAGATTTAATGTGGGGATGCTTATGTTCTAAGTGCCATTAGTATGATCTAAGTGTAATATGTAACTTCACCCTAAATAAATCTGTTCCAGTGCTTAACTATCCTCATGGTTAAAAAGTTCTTAAGTCAAACCTAAATCTCCCCATCTATTACCTCCTGTCCCATTCCAGAAAACACAGAGAAAAAATGATTGCCATCCTCTTTATAAAAGACCATTTATTATTTGAAGGTTTTTCAAAACTGCCTTAATCTTATATTCTCTAAACTAAATAATCCCAACACTTCCAAACTTTCTTCACAGGTCATACTTTCTAAATTTCTGTCATTTTTTTGCTTTCCTCTAGATACTTTTCAATTTGTTCATATTTATTGTAAGCTGTGATGCCCAAAACTGGACACAATATACGTACAACTTCACCAGTGCTGAAGGGAATAGAGGAATCACTTCCTGTAACATACATACAACAATTTTCTTAATATATCTTAGTATTTTTGGAAAAAAAATTCTACATATTCATCTAGATTTCCAGCATCCCTTTTTTGAATTACTGCAGCCTAGTTAGCCATTTCCCATTTGGTATTTGTGCATTTAATGGCTCCTTTTTTTAAATGTAGTACTTTGCACTTGCCTTTACTGAATTTCATTCTATTTTTTAAAACTAGTTTTCTAGTTTATCAAGGCCACATTAAATTTTCATCAGTGCCTGTAATATTCTTGTAACCTTACTTGACTCGGTGTCATTAGTAAATTTTCAAGTGCAAACTAAATTTCACCCTCCAATTCATTAATGAAAATGTTAAACAATACTTGGATCAAGGACAGACCTCTGGAGAAATCCACTTTCTACCTTTAACCAATTTGACATTGAGTCATTCCTGATTATTCTTTCAGTACAATTATACAACTAGTTCTATATCCATCTGAAATAGAGCACAGGGTGCT